TTGTCAAGTCGACGGTCGAATTAATCAGGATTTGGTGAATCACCAATGGTGATCTGCTCAACATGTCAAAATACATGTACATGTAGTAAGCGCCATCGATGGCACGTTACCGCTCATCGGGGAGTTCCACCATTGCACACGAGTCGCGTGCCACGACAGAGGCGTCGCCATCTACTGTAGAAAACATGTGTCTCGAATCTCGTGCGTCCAGACTCTGGTCTTTATTAAGCACGTGTGTGCAGTATTTTCTGCATCGTGAGCAATCCAGACAATCCCCTCCGTAGGCATACAAACTAGTTTTCAAGAGCAAAACTACTGTACTCAGTGAGTACTACTCACACACTTGCTCAATTGAGCTACTTTTTAGTTTGAAAAGTGCAAGTACACGTATTAAATACTTCTTAACTTAAAACAATGAGCCGTTTAGGCCCTGGTCTAAGAAAACATGTTTCGAGAATAGTAGAAGGGATCGGGTTGGATCAGAGCGACTTTCAGGTCAGAGTACGTGTATTCTGGATTTGCTCCGAGACAAGTGTCAGGTCAGGACGAGTTCTCAGTGTTTGAAGTTGGTGTATAAGTACGTGACAGTGTATGAAAGCAGAACACGATCTCATTTCCGCTCAACTCTCCTCCAGCTCAATGGACTCACACGACTTAAGACTTGCTCACACCGGCCAACCCGCGCCCCACGATGGAATTGCTCGGCTTCCGATATTGCCATCCATTTTGACAAGCTGACTTACTGCCTAATAATGTGTAAACCAAGAAAGCAAAACACAGAGTGGGCACTTGGAGCGGAATATACTGTGGCAGAGACAGCAAACTCGTTCCGACTTCAGAACACCTCCACAAGGTGCTCTGAGAACCCCACACAGAACGGTATAAACTCGGAACGCGTACCGAGTGATTCGCTTAGCTCTCAGCCAATCCAATAACAGAATTTTCAGAACGAGTTTCGTTTTTTTCTACTTAGACGGGCCCCAGACTGAATCGCTGAAAATAAACTTGTGCATCTGAGTATCCTGCGCACATAGATCAGGTGTGCTTAAGTAGGAGGAATAGGCATGTATGTGTTTGTTGTACATACCGATACTATAGTGCTTATCCAGGAGGTGCATTATCCTAACTTGTGTTTTGCATATTCTAACTAAAGGGATTGCCAGCTACGTCGGACCACACAATTTTAATCAATCGAAACAGTAGGACAAAGATTAAACCCATATGATCGCAGATCGCAGCTGGCTGATTTGCCACGAGTTTTGCAGCAAAACTTCTAAACGATGGTGACGCTTTGTTCGGACACCAAAACTGTAGCGCAAATCCGCCACTGCAGGGTTTATTCGTGAAGCAGGATGCCGTTGCCAAGTGAACCTCGTGTTCGTTCAAAAAGATGGCTCAAAGCTTGTTTAAATATCTGCCACCTTCCTGTCGCGAGATTGTGCATCGTGATTCTTCCGTTCGAAGCTGTTCGACGAACTTCGTTTGAGGATTGGCATGGCAACTGTCAGTCGGTAATCTTTCACAAAATAAAAATCCAGCCAGTGCAACAGCAAATTGAGTGGCAACATCTCGTCTGTCACTCCCGGTTGGTGGAAACGCAGGTGAGTGGGCAATCGCACCGAACGGGTACACTTTGGTGTTGACAGCAGGGGCTAATGGTAACCAAATATCATATGATATTTTTGATAGTAATAGTACTATTTTCGATATTAAATATAAATAGTAACTCATTTTTGCAAAAGCTAACATAATATTTTTATATTAGCTCGGAGAACTGAAAAATATTAGATACTACATGATATTTTATGATATTTTCCCACTTAAGTACGTTTCTTGCCAGCTTACCTCTGTGAACCGAGCGGAGCCAAATAACTTTTTCGATCAGGTTCTAGAAAAGCAGTAGGCTTTAAGACTGACGAGTATTTGCTCTAGTATTTCACTGTGACACAGACAAAGGCGATCGAGATGGAAAACTGCAAACGCTTGCAGCTGTTTAACGTTGATAGAGCGAAATCAAGACATTTGTTCTTGTTCTCTTCCGATCTCCTCGTCGACATCGTGCGTCTAATAAACCTGCTGCCTGTGGCGCTAGATTAATGCGCTCAGCAGTGCCAACACACAACGCCAACCTTGCCGTCACTCACAATTGTCCCGGTACTCACGGTTGATTAGTAATACTTCAGCTAGTCGAGCGTTAACGACATCTGATTAGTTAATGTAGCCCGATTACGCAATCATTGAAAAATATAATATCGTATTAACTAATATTAAGTTGATATTTAATAATATCATATTGTCTCAAAAGAAAATATTAGGTGATATTTTTTATATTAACTGGTCTACAGGTGATATTTTCACAATATTAACTTCACCGATTTTGGAGTTACCATTAACCCCTGGTTGACAGCCTTGCCATTTGCAGCTTGTGTTTGGTACACGGTGCCGGTATCCATCTGCCTGGGCTTTCGGCTGTTAAAAAAAATGTCGCGTTAAAGAGCAGATCAACAGTTCCATGCCGCACAGCCCAGAACCTTTGTCATTCCAGAATCCCCCTCCTCGAGCTGCAAGGTCATCGGAGATAACCGCAAAAACTCCGATGCAGTTCGTACGATATGCCGCTGTATGCAGCCTGGCGCTGTTGTGGACAGCTTCCGTTGAGGCCACAAATGCCACAACGTACCCGACCAGGTCGGGCATCGGGACGTGGGTCGACCCGGACACCCCCAAGGACAGATACGTGTACACGAGCTCACGTGGTCGACGATGGGATCTCGTCATGAGCGACGAGTTCAACGTCGCCAACCGCAGCTTCCGTGCGGGCGACGACCACATTTGGACGTCTCTCGAGAAACCCGACGGTGTAAACGGTGCTCTTGAGCTTTACTCGCACAACATGACCTCTACAAGGTGCGATGACGACGGGACGTGCTACTTCTATATCAAGGCCATCGACGAGAAGAACACGATCCACGTCTACAACATGTACACCCACCCACCCAGCTTCGAGGACGTCTACTTCTGGTACCGTGGCGCAATGGTACAGTCGTGGAATAAATTCTGCTACCAGGGCGGTATGCTCGAAGTGCGGGCGCAACTCCCTGGAGCTGTCAGCGCAAAGTCCGGAAACCCCGACCGAGATCTTGGAGCGACTGGTAAGGTCGCCAACAACCAGTACTACCCGACATGGCCCGGTATTTGGATGCTGGGCAACCTCGGACGTGCCATTTTCTCGGCGTCGACCAACCGGATGTGGCCGTTCTCGTACAACCGATGCGACGCCGACGTCTTTGACCCAAGTTTTCAACGTATCAGCGCATGCGATGACAATCCCGGATACGGTCTCAACCCGAATCAAGGGCGCGGAGCTCCAGAGATCGACGTGCTCGAAGGTGGTGGTCTCGCCATCTCATCTTCGCTTCAGATCGCTCCAGGCATGCCTGAAGACTACCGTCTTTTCCCTGTGAACACTTCAACGGGCGACTTCAGCTACTGTTTGTACAGCTACAACTGTGTGACGCCTGGCTCCAACTACATCGACGTCCCGACCTCCTTCTACCAAAAGGAGCGAGGCCGCAAGTCGTGGTACCAAGGTCTTCGCTACGGAGCCAACAACTACTGCGCGCAGAACGCAAAGGAGAAACAGACGTATGAGACCGTTGCGGCCTCCGTTAAGAAAGGAATCACAGAAAACACGTGTACAGTCGACACGTGTCCTGCCTCGGGAGATGTCAATGCTGATCTGAGCTTAATTGACGGCAAGGGGAAGAACCACTGGGGCATCAACTCGAACGGCACGTGCTATCCGCTCATCAACTCGTACATGGGCTCGTACCTGTGTGACCCGGACAACACCTTCTCCAAGTGTGCCCAGCCTCGTAACGAGAGCACGACACCCAAGTCGAATGCCATGAAGCCTTTCAACTACCAGATGGACGCTATCTCGTCCAACTGGCCCATTAGCTTCGGTGCGTACACCGGATATCTGGATTACCAGGTCGAGTGGGTCACTGGCGAGAATGGCTATGTGCGGTGGCAACTCCATGGCGAGCCGCTGTTTGAAGTCACGACCGAATCGATCGTGAGCGTGCCACAGAACCCGAGTAAGGATAACCCACAGAAGATCATGATCGAGGAGCCCTTGTACGTGATTTTCAATGTGGCGCTGTCGAGCTCGTGGGGTGCGAAGCCGCCGAACCCGGGCATGGAGTGCCGTGGAGACGGCAAAGATCCAGTGACCAACAAGATCTGTGACGAGTTCCCCATGTACATGAAGATCGACTACATCCGTCTGTACCAGGACTTGGCTGGCGACCTCGAAGCCGACAACTACATGCAGATTGGGTGCGACCCTGCCAGTCACCCGACTAAGGAGTGGATCGAAGGCCACATTGACGAGTACGAAGACGACGATAACAAGTGGGAGGAGGTCGCTGGAAAAGCCTTTTGCAAGACGAGTGACGACTGCACCATCGGTGGCACTCTTTCCAGAACGGCGTTGAAGACGGGCAAGTGCGTAAAGAAGCGCTGCGAGTGTTTGTACCATTCGTGGGGTGGTCCTCGCTGCACGACTGCTATCTCGGGATCGAGTTCTTCCGACAGCGGTATGATGAGCAATACGTACGGTCCTCCTATGGAGGCCTCCATCGCTCTAGCTGTTGTGGCTTGTCTTCTCTCGGCGACCTCCGTGTACTTGGCAATCAGAAAGTCTGCTAGACAGACCAAGGTTGCGATGGCTGCGTTGGATGCAGAACGGAAGGCTGCAGCCAACGCCGAGTCGGCTCCAGTGAGCGAAACGAGCAGCAACCGCAGCTCACACCTCGCGGCGGTATCCAAAGACAACTACCGCCAGAACTTCGTGTAGATAATTGCTATCCGTAACTTACATGTAAATCAATGTTATTCTGCAGTCGAATACGAATACCAAGTAGTACTTCCGTATCACTTTTACAACGTAGTATTTTTAAAATTTAGCTGTGTAGTACTTCAAAACGTTTTTATCCCAAATTCAGTACTCATGACATGAGCTGTAGTACCACTTAGAAACACAGAAATACTACTACATAGAAACAAATAAAAACAGCTACTTGTAATAGTAGCAAAACTCTGTTGTTGTGTTTGTCAAACAGCACTTATCCACCTTCCTGCTCGGATGGGAAAATGAAACCTCCTGAATTGCGGATGCTCAAAGCACACGCGTGGCTGCGAACGCGAATATCAAGCTGATGGTGTTTCTATCTAACACAGGAAGACAACGAGATGTCTTGACGCGTTTCTGTGTTGGAAGAGCTTGTTGTGGCATAATGCTGAGGAACTCCAGTATGGACTTCACACTTAGCTCGTCTCGAACAGCAGGTAGTTTCTCGAGATGAAAGTTATTGAACAGCGACGATAGCACGAGGTGGAAGGTCGACGCCAAGACGTCAAGATACTCTAGCGAACGAATTCGTGCGAGCATACCCAGCAGGGCAGCATGGTACTCCTCACGCGTTGTAACAGTGTCACCACCGCTGTCTCAAGGTAGAAAGACGCAGTCGTCGTATAGCGTTCGCAAACGGATGCTTCGTCATAGAGATACAACTGATGGTAGCGGTGGCGTTTTCGAGCGAAGACTGTACTGTCGACGGTATGGTGAGTGGGCTTTGCAGTCTGCTATCGCGAGCTTTGAGCCGAGCAAAGAAAAAAAAAAGGGTGCGCAAACAGCAAACGTGGACACTCGGCAGTAATTCGTATTATACAAGCATGGCAGAACGAATGGTAGTTACTTGGATGGTTAAGTCCTACCAATGACACCCAAAACCTCACACATAAGATCGTCGTCCGGGTCGTTCACAAATGAAAGCACAAGTGTTAGTCCTTGTGTAGTATCCTCAGCTGTAGAATCATTTTGAACCCGACTGGATCGCTGAGTCTGACATTTACCAAACCCTGGAACTAGCTCGTCCATTTTTACTCCTAGTATCTCTCGGATGACCGTGAATATCGCATTATCTTCGAGCTCTTCGCCCACCTCCATTAGCAGTAGTCGCAGTGAGGCTTTTGCTTTAATTGAGAACTCCTGCTGCTCTTGATGTTGCTCCTGTTGTTCAATACCACGTAACTTTTCTTCAGGAGACTCCGAAAGCAGATCAGCTCGCATCGCTTAAACGTCCTCTCTACGCACACGAATATTCTGAAGTGTAAGTCGCTCCAGCCACGACAGTATGCGGGGTCTCCTTGAAAAGTATCCGTAGCAAAGCCACTGCCATCTACACTCAGACAACATAGAGCTTTCGTCCTGCATTTCCATCGCCATTAACACGGGGCTGGTCGTCGGGTTTATTACAGCTAAATAGCACAGATGCGGAAAGAACAACGACCAAGAAGCGTCGTAATTGAAGTTCATTGACCTCAGCGCCAGTTGGCCGAGAGAACCCCGCGCCTCGACTCGCGAACCAGTCAACACCTTGACTGCATTCGTTGACTGAGCACTGCGCGTACCGCCAAATAAACTGGCAAACAGCATCCCAACCATTTTCCTGACAGCCCCCCTACCCCAATTTCCTGTTAAAAGGCTGAACCGGAGAAGATGATTCCATCCTGAGAATTTCCAACAGCGACGACAAATCGGGTGTAATAGAAACACTCTCGCAGATCTGCTCCAATAGATTCCAACACGAATGTCACTCTCGGCATTCCGTCCCTTTCCGCCGGGGTCGTACCGCTACTTAGTGGGTGTTCACTCAAGTCAAAGTCTAACAGATTTGCGCTGCGTTCAATATGAGCCACGTGCGACAATATTTAGGTCTGGTTTGGATCCACCACGATTCACGCTCACACATAATACATGTGTGCACTAGCCGAGCGCCGCCGCTTCGCGGCGGTGGGTCTCAGCTGTGTAGTCCGCTTCGCTCCGGCGGTTTGTGTCCCTATACATCATGAAAATATTAAAAGGAGAAATGTCACTGTAAAAACGTGCTGCATTTATAGAGTGAGGCCACATTTTCATCCATGAAGGCCGCAGGCCGGCGGGTCAAAACGTTTCTTCGTTTGTTAGCAAAATTACGTGAAAAACGATAAAGCAATTATTCCTGCCTACCCTCAAAGATCTGTCTGTACATGTAAAGCTCCGTCCTCCTCCTTCAGTTCAGGATATTCGATCAGCGCCTTAAATCTTGACCTTGCTGTGACTCTGGACATCGCAACGTAGAGCTGTCCGTGGGAGAAGCACGGTGTCGCCAAGTAAAGCCCCAGATACTGGACAGTCTGTCCTTGGGTCTTGTTGATAGTCATTGCGAAAGCAGATTGAATCGGAAACTGCTTGCGCCTCAGCCGGGAAAGGGTAAATTGCCAACGTCGTCGTCAGTGATGAACACAATCCTAGGAATGAACACGTGCTGCCCTTGGCGATTGCCTGTCATGATGGCTGCGTGAATGACGTGGTCCTTCAGCTCAATTATCCGCAGGCGCGTCCCGTTGCACAGGCCGAGGTCAGCGTTCAAGTTCCGCATCATCATAGCAGACATGCCCTTCTTGAGCTTTAGCTTGTGGGGTGGGATGCCACTCATATTCAGCAAATGGAGGACCTCGGGCTCAAACAAATTGCCGTCCACGTCGTCTTGCACCGAGTCCAAAGACACATATTCCCTGGCTTGGCCTGATAAGCGATCCGTCGCCGCCTTATTAATGCGATGGACCACCGCGTTTGTCGTCGTCAGGATCGTGCGACTGGCAAAGTACTTATCTGTTGCCACGTCCTGGTTATTAATGTCTGCGTACATCGCGTCGATCATTCGCGACATGCCTCTGGGGATTGCACCCGGGCGGATTTCTTCATCTTCGTCAGCATTCTCTGCGGGAGGCGGGTTATCGATGAGCATATCGCGTGGAATGTTGATATAATCGTTACCAAGGTCGAATGTTCACTTCGTGTCGACCCTCGCCAACCTGAAGAAGGAAGTCCGAAAACGCAGCCATTTCCTCCGCACTTTCAAACGTTCCAGCGGAGCGTACGCGCATGTTATTGGTGAGCCGAGCCTGCTGAAATTGTGGCCACAATGACGAAGACATGAGACAGGCATCTATCGTTTCAGCTGGTGTCCCTCTCTTCACAACAGGAAGAATCTGGCGGAAATCGCCCGACAGAACGAACACCTTGCCTCCAAATGATTCATTTTCATTATAAAGCACTTCACGCAGGGTCCTATCCACCGCTTCAAACGCATGCCGGTGTGACCATATGACCAAACTTGCTGTCTTTATCATCTCTTTCACGTGGGATCGAATCGTGATATTGCAAGTTGAACTGGCCGTAAGCTTCAAAGGGATTTTGAACGTCGAATGTGCTGTTAGGCCTCTCATAAGTAGCAACGACGCGATCCCGCTGGACGCGACGGCAATAAGAATCTTCCCGGTGAGCCGGACGCTAGCGAGAATGTTTCGACGCAGTGTAGACTTTTCAGTTCCTCCTGGGCTGTCTATGAAAAACAATTTCTTGCCGACCACTGGGTTGTTGGCGGCCGCAATAACCTGGTTGTAAATGCGAAGCTGTCCCTCGCTGAGCTGATCTTCTTTGCTCACAATCGTGCGTAGCGATGCCCCATCGTACCCGGTGAGCTCGCGGCAAATCAAGTTGTTTTCATTGACCGACTCTTGCAACAGGCCCGGATAATCTGTTAAACGGGGAAGGTCGAAGTTTTTCACACCAAATCCGTTGATCAGGAGAAGGTCTTTGATACTTTTCAAAGTTTCAAACGTCACAACGGACGTTCTGAGAGGGTCCATCAAGGCACGATGTCTGCGCGCAATATTCTCAGAAAGATGCGGGAAGAAACGGTCCCAAAGTCTACGGACATCCGTAGAAACCGCGTACGCTAAGATGGTAGCAAACAATTGGTGGAGCTGGTACGGCATCTGGAATTCAGCAGCTTTAGACAAACACGATATCCTTTCGTTGTCGCCATCCAAGTATCCAGCCGCGCGGGCTGCATCTGGGTACGTACGGTATTCAACCACATGGACAGTTTTCAAATCTGCAAAAGAAGTGGTGAAATTGCTCGCGATCACGAGGAGACACGTGGACCATGTGCCCGATTGTCGCTTGGTATTGTTATCGCCAACCCCAGCGCGGAGGCTTCCCTTTCCAACAAAACTCCTTGGTCACGCATAGTTTTGGCGATCTGGTTTTCAGGTGCTTCGCTCGCACATAGCTCAAAGAACCGTGTCAGCATCGTGTGGCGGGCGCGGCTCTTAAATACGGCTCACGGTCTCGGTCGGTTGGAAGAAGACCATCTGGTCATCTTCCAAATGTACCGTCAGCTGCGCTACCGCGTTAGTCTTTCCTTGAATCGCGAAATCGAGTAGCCGTATATATGCTTCGATTGGAGATATGTATCTGGCACTGACAAAGCGCAAGATTTCGTTGGGTTCTCGGCGATTTGAATGTCAATTCCCCGAAACCGCTCCAACAGTTAGTATCGCTTTGTCTGGGCCTTTGTGCACGTACTTGTAAGGATACTTCACCGCCGAAATGGCAGTACACACCTCCACGTTGATGTGGCAGTTGTACTTCTGGGATAAGTATGGGTTGTATGGAACAATCCACTGGTTGATCGTGGAGTTATCGTACACTTTACCGTCGAAACTAAGACGCCCGCTTGGGCGTCGGCGGCGTCTGTACACAGGATAGCCGGTCTCGTTTGCCCGGGTGACGTCACAAAAGGTTTTGGAAACCCCTTTGAACAATTTTCTCCTTCATGCATGCACACAAAGGGTTCGCGTCTCCACACGGTCCATGCAGCATGAACTTCATAACCTTCTCATATAGCTGCGGATTGACATCTTAAGCAGGAACCTCAGCAGACACATTTTGTCAATTAGCTCGCGTGTGCGAGGCTTGTCTTCCTCCGCCAAGATGACGAGTACGTAGGCGTGAGGGA